CGTTCGCTAAAGACGCTTTGTTTACATCGAGGAGAAAACGTTTGTGGATTTTTACTGTAGGAGGATTTCGGTTCATTTCTTGAGTGTTTATTGAGTCTTTTAATCCAAAATGCCTAAAGTGAGACGTAGTAGGAAGCCTCCGCCAGAAGGATGGGAGTTAATTGAGCCAACGCTGGAGGAACTGGACCAGAAGATGAGAGAAGGTGAGGGTTTTTTTAATAGATATTTTAATGCGTGTTTTGAGTCTTGTTTATTTGTTTTTGTTTGAGAAGGTGAGATGGGTTTTTTTTAATAGATATTTTAATGCGTGTTGTGAGTCTTCTGTGATTGATTTTAAGATGGGATTTTTTTATTTATTTATTTATTTAAAGGTGCGTGTTATAAGTGACCACACTCTTCTGGTCTCTAGTTTTAAAATTCTGCAAGTGTCCTAAAGTCTACTCTCAAGTGCTACCCTCGAAACAAATACCTTGTGAAATGTCTCCACACTAGATGGCTCTGCCTTACCTGATTTCACTTTTACTTGAATTGGCAGGAAAATGTATATTTACTAGTGTTACGAATATCGTTATTTTTGTTATAAACATTATAAATACTACAATGTTATAAACATTAGTAACAGCAAAATAAGATAACGCAAAATATTTTCGTAAATTAAAGAAAAGGGTAAATGGGAGAGACAGGCAGTACAAGTACAAGTGTAGCCATCTATGTGTGAAAACAATTAATCAAGTAAACTTACGGTGGGCCTGTCACTTATACATGACACCCGACGCGAATGGGTTAAGTAGCCAAAAAGAAAATATTGCACATTATTGCAAAAGGCAATTTCATGTGAAAAATATAGCTTTATATATGAAATATGGGGAAAATAATCAATTTTTGTATGTATCTACTTTTGCATCCAGAGCAACTGTAATTACCCACTGTTTGTTAAAAAGATTTGAAAAATGTGGGGATGCCTGAAAACCAGCTTATCTTTCAGAAATATTTATTATCTTACTGTGCAGGAAGATGTAGTGTGAATATATATCTATATCTATATATATAGATAGATAGATATGAGGAACCATTTACATTTTATGAACATTTTTACCAATTTCCTGGAAACACAAAAAAGGTTTTCTAAGGGTTTGGACTACAGTTGCCTTCCATCTGCCAAAAGGTTAAATGGGATTGGGCTAGGCTAAGTTGTGCACTTAGTATCACACCCTTCACAAAAAAAGCAGGGGTTAATATTCTTTATTCATTCTCATGTCTACAACAGTCAATTGCACATCAAGTTGTATATCAGTGGGATGGATGGCACAGTCACATGTCCAGTTCAAGATCACGTCACTGGTATTGCAAAGCTCATGTCTGATTCTTCATCCCATTGGATTTGGCTTTTGCTCTTCATGTGAGGGAGTATGAATACCAGATTCTTATAATTACATTGCTGAAAAAGGTAGCCAGACATTAAATAGCACTCACTTTTGGATGTTACTGGTCCATAGATCATCCTGGTTCCTCTAAAATCTTGTCATGGCTCCTAGTTCGAGAACCAGTGATAAGGGTAGTGTTGGGTTTTAAAACTCATCATTTAGTTCCTGTGTTCAGTGTTAAAGAGTGAGTTTTAAGAAACTAACTAATGGTTTATTTTGATAAACATTTGTCTTATTTACTGCAGTATTATTGATCTACTTTGTACGTGATTTTTGTAAAGAGCAGTTATGGCATGCACATAAGCACAGTTTGTGTAAGCCATTAGACCAAAAGGCCATGTGAGCTCCACATGTTTAACACATGGCTCTGTGTCAGTTTCTGAACCACTGCCTCAGCGAGGGCTTAGATAACAATTATATCTGACTTCATCTGACCTTCAGTTTGTTCTCCATCACCATTCTGTCTAGATCACCATTCACCTCCGGCCCTGTGCTGGCCAGGGAGTGCCAAAGTGCTCAGCACTTGCTCTAAGTCACCACATCGTCTTCATCCATTGTGTTGTACTCTTATTAACCCATTGCTGCTGGGTAAATTGTGGAAAATGCTGTGCTCATTTTTTATATTTTTGTGAAATGTCTCTACATAAATGGCTCAGCTGATTACTGATTTTACCCTTCCTTGAATTGGTGGGAAAAATATATTTTTTACTAGTGCTATGAATATCAATGGTGTTATTTTTATTATGAATATTATAATTACTATAATGTTATAAACATTAGTAACAGCAAAATAAGATAACATAAGATATTTTCGTAAATCAATGAAAAGGGTGAACTGGTGAGTCAGGCAGTACTCATAACTGGCTCACTGGTGACTTAGTACAAGTGTAGCCATCTATGTGTAAAAACAATTAAACAAGTACACTCACAGTGAGCTTGGCATGGATGTACGTGCCATGCCCGTCAGCAATGGGTTAATAAAGAGTCAAACCATATAACAACGATGACTGCCCTGCCAGCTGTTATAGGAGGCAATTACAGCCTATTACATGTGTGTTGATGTTTAGTAGGAAAACTAAGTATGTCTGAGAGCTTGTGAGATGGAAAGCACTAAACTAAAGACCAATATTTTCACTCTAGATTCATAGTAATCGATAAAGGTGCCATTATACTCTTCTCTTGATTAAAGAAAAAGTTGTATGCCTGCTTTGAACAGAGCATGATATCTTTTTTTATGAGTGATTTTCAGAAAATTTCAGCATATTCAAAGATCTTCATTGCAGATAAAGAGAAAGTCATGATATAGTAGATGTATTCTTTGTACTTTTATCAAAGTTGAGAGTGGTGTCGTAGAAAGAATATCAGAAATGTCTGTTTTGCAGTATTTGTTGGAATTACATGTTGAAGCTTGAATGTCATAAATTTAATATAGATCCCAGTTTGTTTGTTTTTTATGTTTTATTTTAATTCTGGCTGGCTCTGTTTTTTTTTTTTTATTGTTTAACTATTTTAATACTTTTGATTTTCATGTGACTCATACAGTTGCTATTAACCCATTCTCCCCATGTTGCAAGAATACATGCCATGCCCACTGCAATACACGTTTATTTGTTGTATTTACACATAGATGGCTCTACAAGTTCTTAATCACCAAATAGCCAGTTATTAGAACTACCTATCTCACCTGTTTACCCTTTTCCTTCACTTTAGGAAAGGGTCTTTTGTATCATTTCATTGTCTAAAATATTTTAATGATAATTTAATAATCCTAACATCATAACATTGATAGCAATGGTATTAATAATCAAAAACATTTTCCCGCCAATTCAAGGAATGGGAAAATCAGGGTCGGTAACTAGGGCCTACTGATAGACTCCTTGCCGGCTGAGCACATGTGGAGCCATCTATATGTAACAAAATTCACCAAAAACTACAGGGGACAGGACATAAATCTGGGGCGAATGGGTTAACACTTGCTCCTCTGTGTAAATATGATTATTTTTCCCAGTTTATCAAAGTACTCAGAAAGGCAGGAGGAAGGTAATGTGCCTGTGAAAAACTGAAAAGGAAATAATTGCATATTAGGTGAATTTATAGAGAGGAAACAGACCCTGTTAATAGTTTATCAATTTGTACCTCGAATACAATTTATTTCTTAGTATTTCCTTATGTCTTATATTTTGATGGTAAATCAATCGTTGTTCCAGGAAAAACAGAAAATCCAGAATGAGACTCACCTGTGCTCCCATGCATACCTACAAAATAATCCTTGATATTCTGTTGTCATTATAATAATAATAATTATTATTATTGTTGTTGTTGTTATTTTTATTGTTATTGTTATTATTATTGTTATTATTATTATTATAATTATTATTATTAATATTGTTATTATTGCTATTCTTGTTGTTGTTTTTGTTGTTATTATTATTATTATTATTATTATTATTATTATCATTATTTATTATTATTATTGTTATTGTTATTGTTGATATTATTGTTATTATTATTATCATTATTATTATTATTATTATTATTGTTATTATTATTATTATTATTATTATTGATGTCATTATTATTATTGATGTCATCATTATTATTATTATTATTATTATTATTATTATTATTGTTATTATTATTATCATTTTTATTATTATCTTTATTATTATTATCATTTTTATTATTATCTTTATTATTATTATTATTATTATTATTATTATTATTGGTATTATTTTTATTATAATTATTATTTTATTCTAATTATTATTTATTATTATTATCATAATTGTTTTATTATTATCATTAATTATTGGTACTATATCATTATTATTGTTACTGTTATTATCATTATTATTATTACTATTATTATCATTATTGTTACAAATTTTTATTACTTATTACAATTATAGAAATTATAGTAGTAATATAAATTTATGAAAACTGTTGGGAAAAAAATGCCCCAACAACAGGGGACAAATGAATTTAACTCTCATTGTAGAGTACTCTGACTTGTCACATCTCTTGAGAAAATGTACTGAGGGTCTCAAATTTTGATTAAAACAATGAAAGGTATTGTATATAGGTTTTCAAACTATTACATATGTAAAGATGAGTATAAAGTGTCAGTTGATTTGGAGAAGAAAAGAAAAGAAAAAAAAATGAATCTATGTAATCCAAAGTTCATTTAGTTGTTCCTTTATATACTCTTGAGATTGAATGCACTATTATGTTTGATAATTCTGGTTATGTTCATTTGTATTCTACTTTAATTTCATTATGTTGTAATTTTAGTTATCAGTTCTGGTGTCTTTATGAAGTATATACACCAGCCATTATTTCTGCTGACAAGGAACTGTGGGATGACACTTGGGTTTGACTCTGCAGCCATTTAGTGGGACAGGGTAGTGCCATGTAAGAAAACATTTCTGAAATAAGAATAGACACTTTTAAAATCGTTTATGCTCTTTCTTTGGGCAAATTCAAGTGACCAAAAGTGTTATATACTGATGAAAGTAAAAAGAGGCAGCATCTGGACATAATCATGCAGTGTTCACCAAACAAGTTTGCATGCTCTAAAAAGTAATATAATATTTATAATAGTGTGTTTAGAAGTGTTGTAAGTGAAGACTGTGACACCTGACAGTGTCTCGTGACAATTTTTTGATGGTGGAAAGGACTTATTATTTTCATTATAATTTGTACTTGATAATTAAATTTTCATACAGTCCTGAGTTTTGTACTCTCTCTAGGTGCAGAAGATTTATGCTTATTATATATTTTTAATTGGGTAATTTAGAGCAGATGAACTCACAAACACTCACTTGATGATTAACAAGCATGTATGTTCTGGGCAGTATTACATAATGGTAACTAACTCAATCACTCTGTGTATTTAAGTCTCAGCAGCATACACATAAATGCAGTACCTATCATGGATTTTTTAAAACAGATATTTTTGAAAGGCAGTATGTAATGGTAAGACTGAGCATGTAGTTTTAAGTGGGGCTGTAGATGTACCCTGCATCTTTGGCTTATCACCTGAGTCTTGCAATTTATTTGATTTTTAGTGTAGTTTTATTTATCTATTTAATTTTTATATACCATTAATTTTTTTATCACTCTTTACCACTTATTTTTGTATGAGGAATTGCCTAGCACGTTTATGAGCATTCCTCAAATTTGGAATATCCTATAATTATGAAGCAGCTATCCTCACTTAATGTAAAGGTAGAGATTTAAAGGGAAGCAGAATCTGTTGCATAGATTATTGCACTTTGAGTAATTGAAACTATTTTGTATTTTTTGTCTAACAGAGATACAAGTGATAACTTTAGTTTTTGCAGCACCATTACTAGTTATAGTTAGTAATCAATATCTATCCCTGATTTTTCTTTCTGGAAATCTAATATGATCGTAGCTACTTGATGTACCAAACTATAGGTCCTTTTATCTGTAGAAGGGTGGATCTTATATGAAATAGTATGATATTGTAATTCAAAAGGTTTATTTTCATGTCTTATGTTTACAATTTGGTAGTAAGTTTATTTTCAGAATATTGAATACTGAGGTGACAGGAAAAGTAACTCTTCCTATCTCTCATTAAATACTAATCATTGGAAGGTGCAGGACCTGTTGGGGAAATGTTAGAGAGTTAGAGCTAAGAGTAATGACATTGTATGTAACTCATAGTGTCCGTGCTTCCTGCATGTTATCCTTTGGCTGTGGCTGGGGCATGGTTGAGTTAAAAGCCTGCCAGAGGTAAAGATGGTGGTGTGTGACTTCCTGTGCAGCTAGCAGCATAGGAAGGCTAGTTCATGCAGTATTGGGGTATTTAAAAATGGTCTGGATGAAGAGACTGGACAAAGCTCAGCATTTGTTGGGCCTGTGTTCACATGCATGGCCATTAATCATTACTATTCAGCCTTCTGTGTTTGAGTGCCATACTGTATTGTTTACTCATGAAAATAAATGGTAGTTTTCTTATTATGAAATTTATAATCTTCACAGGTGTATGAAGTGTTTGTAAGAAAACTGCCAAACTAAAAGGACTGATTTACAAAAGAGCATGATGTTCATTTATTGATATCATGAGCTGAATTAAAACAACAAGTAAACCAATATTGTTTATTTCACACATACATGCTTAAATTTATCATTCTAGGTTTCTTGGAAAATAGCAAACCTATTTAACAGAATAAAGTTATTTGAGAAGCATTATGGATTATGGACTATAATCAGCCCTGCACACTACACATTTTTTAGGAATTTAAATCTTCATAGACATTTGGCTTTGTTGGCTGCTGACACTCCTTTCCTTTAGTTATTACTTGATGGTTTCTCATTATTTTCTCCATTTTGCTTGTTTTTCAGCTTCAGCTTAGGTGCTAGTGAAGTTCCTCTTTTTTTTAACTTATTAACTTATTATCTCTTATTATCCTTGCAGCTGAAACGGAGTCGCACGAGGGCAAGAGGAAGGTCGAGTCCCTCTGGCCCATCTTCCGCATTCACCACCAGAGATCGAGATACATTTACGACCTTTTCTACAGACGGAAAGCTATCAGCAGAGGTAAAGAAGTTTTTTAGAAATTATTCTTTCTTTCCTTTTATATTTTAAAAATTTATTTTACTTTTTTTCTTTTTCTTTCTTCTTCTTCTTCTTCTTCTTCTTCATTCATTATTCATTCACTAATAGACATAAAATATAAAATTGGATTTTGTACTGCATTGTGAAAGCTGTTAGAAGTAGTTATAGCTTTATTTTGAATATTTCCCTTTTTATCTATTTTATTAGTTAAAAAGGAGGTAAATTTAACTCAAGTATCAATTAGCCAATAACTAATACTTTTTAACCCATTCACCCTGGATTTATGTTCTGTCCCCTGTAGTGAATTTTGTTACATACAGATGGCTCCACATGTGCTCAGCCGGTAAGGAGTCTATCAGTAGGCCCTAGTTACTGATCCTGATTTTCCCATTCATTGAATTGGTGGGAAAATTAATACCATTGCTATTGATACTGTTATTATTGTTATTGATGTTATGATGAATAAATTGTCATTAAAATATTTAGACAGTGAAATGATACAAAAAAAAACTTTCCTAAAGTGAAGGAAAAGGGTAAACAAGTGAAATAGATAAACTGGCTATTTGGTGATTAAGAACTTGTAGCGCCATCTATGTGTAAATATACTAAATAAACGTGTATTACAGTGGGCATGGCATGTATTCTTGCCACATGAGGCGAATGGGTTAAGTAGCAGTTTATTTAAAAATTGTGATTCTTAACCAAAAAGCAACAGCCATGGCATGTATGTACATATCATGCCCACTACAAGTTTACTTTATAATGGTTTTTACACATAGATGGCTTGTACGAAGTCACCAATGAACTAATTATGAGTACTATTTGTCTCACCTGTTTACCCTTTTCCTTGATTTTTGAAAATATTTTATGTCATCTTATATTACCAATGCTAATGTCAATAACATTATAATAGTTATATTATCTATAATGAAAATAACAGCATTGATATTGATATAATTGGTAAAAAAAAAAAAATTCATGCAAATTCAAGGAAAGGTGAAATGGGGTAAGATCACAAGGTCTAGTAATTGACTCCTTTGTGGCTAAGCTCTCGCTTTTCACCGAAAATTCTAAAACGAACACAGCGTATTTCCAACAGCATTGGGTTAATTAAACTGAAAGTTATTGAGTTCATTGTTGCTGTTGGATTAGTTGTCTTTGGATATATTAAAGGCCTTTTATATATATATATATATATATATATATATATATATATATATATATATATATTTTTTTTTTTTTTTTTTTTTTTTTTTTTTTTTATAACTTTATTATATACTTGAAGTAATTAAAGTTTTCAAAACATCTTTGTGTAAGTTTTGTTAGTTTTTTGAGGATGAGTACCTTTTTCAAAAAAATATATAATGTGTTACATATTATATGAACACTAATGGTAATTGTAATAAAAATATAGCGTAAATTACTTCAGTATATGTGGAAAACTTAAAATTAATGCAATTTTCTTTCCACTTTCTTGATCTCCAATGGCAGTGTTTTTATACAACTGCTAGCCATAGAAAAAAAATGGGCAAGAACAAAATAAAGTGAATATATTGTGTAGGTTTGTGTGCATTTCTTGATCTCAACAAAGATCAAAACTTTTTTCTTTTTTTCCCAGAACTGTATGATTACTGCCTTAAGGAGAAGATTGCGGACCAGAACCTGATTGCCAAGTGGCGCAAACAGGGATACGAGAACCTGTGCTGCCTTCGCTGCATTCAGGCCCGCGACACAAACTTCGGCACCAACTGTGTGTGCAGAGTTCCGAAGAGCAAGTTGGAGGAGGTAAGGGTCTTGCAAAATTCATTGTCTTGCTTGTGTTATTTTCTGTTTCCTCTTTTTCCTTTGTTTTCTTCTTGATTATTGTCATTTTCTTCTCTTTCTTACCTTTCCATCCTCCTACTATTGCTTCCACTCTTCCATTCTTTCTTATTCATTCTCTCTTTCTCTCTCTCTCTCTCTCTCTCTCTCTCTCTCTCTCTCTCTCTCTCTCTCTCTCTCTCTCTCTCTCTCTCTCTCTCTCTCTCTCTCTCTCTCTCTCTCTCCCTCCCTCCCTCCCTCCCTCCTTCCTTTGTTAATTTTCTGCTTTTTCCTTGTCTCCTTTTTCAGTTTTGAAATTCTCATTATTATTACTTATTTTTTTGGTTCACCTAATCAGTTTGGATTTTTTTTTTTTTTTTTTTTTTTTTTTTTTTTTTTTTTTTTTTTTTTTTTTTTTTTTTTTTTTTTACAAATGTTTTTGTTTTTTCATAATGATTATTTCATCTCTTTCTTTATCTTCTTTATATGGACCCATTGCTTCCTTAATGGCATCTATGTACATGCCGTATCCACTGTGTTTTTATTTTATTTACTGTGTTTACAGATAGATAGCTCTATAAGGGAGTAGTCATCGAGGAGTCAATTGCCAGTCCTATGTATCATGTTATTTAGCTTTTTCTCATTTTTTAGACTTTTTTACTTGTTAGTATGTTAATGTCATTAAAATCATCATAATGTTTATAGTAATAACAGTATCATTATTAATAGCATTAGAGATATTGAGAATGATCAATGGTTAAAACAAATACATGAACTAGACATCAAAGAGGGATATAGATAAAAAAATCCTCTAAGTCCAAGGAAGGTGGAAATCAAGTGAGGACAACAGCTTACTAATTGACCCCTTGGTGACTGAACCCTTTGGAGCCTGGTTATGTTTTCATAAAATTTACAAACCATAACGACAGTTCAAGTTTCAGAAATGACCATTTCTCTTGTACTGGAATTCAAATGATTTTGTACAAATTTTGTTCCATAAGAATGTGCTTCCTCATCTTTGTAAAACTCTAGATCAATTTACTTACAATTTACAGTCATTGAATTATTATTATATATTTTTTTTTCATAATGAAATATATTTACTCTCAACTTGCCTATTTGATATTAATTTTTAAAGTTGGTTGTAAATCAGCAATTACAAAAACTGAGTTTTTTTTCTCTCTCTTTCTGCAGGGAAAGATTGTTGAATGTGTTCACTGTGGATGCCGTGGCTGTTCGGGATGAGGAAGACATTATAACATGTGCATGAATCGGCTTCACTTGTCATGCAGTACCCAGAGACCTGAGGACCATAATGTTCTGGCAATATTCTATCAGAATTTAGTGTATAGGTTAAAGATATTAAAAACAAATACACAGAATTTTCCTTTACAGTTCAGATAGACAGAGGAATAGATTTTTTTTTCACAGTTTCAGTTAATCTTCTAATTTGATTATGGAATCCCCATATGAATGTTTCTGAAGATGGTCCAAAATGTATTTTTCTTACTTAATGTTGACTCATGCACATGATAATTGATTTTTATTGTGATTTTTAAAAACACCGATCTTTGTCTTTGAGTGGAGAAAATAAAACAAACACATCTTAAAGAAGATATTTTTCCTTTATATACAGTTTGGCTTGGCAAGACATAAAAATATCATTTTAAAACAATAAATAGTTAAAGGACAAGTAATAGTAAAAATTGTAATAGACAAGCCACACACGTAACACCCAGCAGCGGGCGAAGGAGCATAGAAAGCAGGCCTTCACACTGTTGGACGAGGACGCACGGAATCAGCGCGAAGGAAGGAGGAACTGGGGATCTCACTAGGTCCAAAAAACCTCCTCGGAAAATACAAAATCGTGTCGGGTTCTTTTAGAGGGGGGAACTGTAGGAAAAAAGTCTCGTATTGTGACAAATTTGGAAGATGTTCCACTATATATATTTTTTTTTTCTTTCTTCTTTTTCTTTTTTTTCACCTTTCCTTTTTTTAAGATGGGGGTATATGGGGACGGGTTACTGAATATACATCTTGACTTAGGGTATATACACAAATGTTAGCAAAGTAATTAATATATATTCCAGTAACCTAATGGTAAGCATCTTATCTTCTGAGATTCTCTTTTGGAGATTCTAATAAATTGAGTACTTTGGCAGTGGATTAATTGGGTGGAATGTGGTTATAATGCTATAAAAGAAACAAAAAAACTCCTGTCAGACTACCATTTACAAAATATGTAAGGCTATGATTTTGTCAATAAATATTTCTCTTTCAGTCATTCTTTTTTTTGTCCACAAAAACAAAGTAGTAAAAAAAATATGCAAGCACAATTTTTATATTTTTTTATGGAATATGTACAATAAAAAAAACATCATAAAATTCAGTGAACTAATCTGACATTCAAAAAAGGCAGAACCCATCTTCCAAGACTAATATGCTAATTTCTTACCTCAAAAGATCTAGCCCAAAGTCCTTCCTCTGTTCCGTACATCCTCAGCCAACGCCTTAATTGAACATTTCTTATGGGACTACCAAGTCTTTGTTTATCATTATTTTTTGTGTATATATTATAATGTGAGCTGAAAAAATGGTTCCAATATGGAATGTCTACTTGCATAATAATAAAATGACAAAACCCCTATGTAAAATATCTCTACACAATTTGGACGATTTGGTACATTACATTTTCTGTACATTTTTTTTGTTTTTTGTAATGAAAGTGGAAATAACTTCTGAATGGCAAAAGAGTATGATACAGTCACAGTAAAAAACATTACTTTTCTGCAATAGCATCTTCATATTTGGACAAATGATCACACAGAACTCAAAACTTCATCTATCTTGTTCACAAAACCGCTAACAATAAACGTAAATTCTTCGTATGTGAATGACTAGGTGCAAAATAAGATGGAAAAGGGAAAACACAAGAAGTAACAAGAAACATTTTCCAGGAGGTTTACTTAGCAGTTCCACAATCATGTATCTTTCTTCCTCAGTGACCCAGGAGACGCATTAAAGCTATAACCAACTGAGTATTGATTTTTTTTTTTTAACCATTTTTTTTTTTCATTTAATTTCCTTTTTTTTCCTTTTTTTACAATTATTTTTATGTGTTTTTTTTATACTGCTTTTTTTTTTTACATATATATTTTTTTTTTGGTTTATTAGGCTAACAATATCACTTGCCCTTGTGATTCTTCTACTTGTCAAAATGCAGTGTACAAAAAGGGAGGCAAGGCAAGGCCCATGTCAAACTATATTACACAAAAAAAAAATTGCATCACAGAAAGCTCAAGTCACCCAAGGAATGATGTGTTTTCCTTTTTTTTTTTTTTGCCTTTTTCTTACACTTTCCACCAAATGATACACATTCACTCCCAACGCTTCTCCAAAAGGCCTTGTTATTGTGACACTTGACAACGCCTGCCAAATGCACCATTCCTGAACTTGAGATCTGCTGTGATTTTACCCCTACAAATATTGACTCTCAGGAAGTTGAGATCCTGTAATTTATCAAGACAGAGTTAATGAAAAAACAAAAATGGAATTAAAAAAAAAAAAAAAAAAAAAAAAAAAAAAATCAAAGTAGTTACAAGACCATACAATTTGAGCCAAAAAGAAAAAAACAAAAACAAAACAAAAAAAACATTATAAAGTAGTTACAAGACCATATAATTTCAGCCAAAAAGAAAAAAAAGAAAGATAAAAAAAAAATAGCTAACCTCAATATGAGATTATTATAAACAATGAAGAATTAAAAGACTGAAGGATTTTAAACCTTGGAAGACAAGAGGAAAAGCAGACATTTAGGTAACTTAAGTGGAATTAGTATCAAAAGCCTTTTAATGGTGATAATAACATACAGAAGCCTATTTCTTATGCCTCATCATGTTAACAATAATGAACTTCATAAAAATATAATTAAGTTTACGAAGTGATTAACTACTATTTTACGTATCATATCTTTAGAAAAATTATGACGATGATGATGGTAACAATAATACTTAATGTATAATAAAAAAAATGAAATAAATCTATTATATAATCTGTTCTATTTATCAATTATCCTCCAAGCTCTCATTATAATTCACGTTTTCATAATTTATTCTTCCATTTACTGCACATTGTTATCTTCCACTGGCCAAATAGCATAAATAAATGCAATATACAATATTAATAACCATTGCAACTGCTTCTATATCTATGATTCATACTTAAATACTAGAGCTTCTTACAGCATTTTTGTCACAGATTCATCTTCATCTGTCCATTCAAAATAAAGTTAAATAAAAAGTTAAATAAATAAAAAAAGTATATATGATAGGAAAAACCTAATTTACAATATTTTTCTTCCATTTGTGAAACAATAATAAATGTAGTAATAATAATCAATGTACAGGTATTTAGCATAATCTACATACATACTTGCTTTTTTCCTGATCAATCAACACTGACTAGATGAGTATCTTTCCGTATAATTCTGGATCTCTCACTTACTCTCCATATTAAGTATTTTGATTATCATTTTTCCAATCTGACACATACTAGATTTCAGTGCTTTTCACAATGTTTACTTTGAGAAGGCTATTTCGTGAAAAGCATCACATTCTCTTAAATATACCCTCTACAGAAATCAACTCGGTATCCATAGTTTTACAGTTCTCTGCATTAATAGACAAATTAGCTTCACTGTGAGCAACTGCTTCAGTACAATTACTGGATTTTGCTTGACAAGAAGTACACTGAACTTAGTAACCATTAAAGGAGAAACAATCATTGCAAAGAAAGAAAAATGATATTCATATAGCATTAAAATATCAGTTCCTGATTTTAAAGGATCTGCCTACAACAGGGCTTGCAAGATCAAATTTGTATATACTAGCAGATTACATTGTATGTGATCTGAAATAAATCTCTCTTTATCATATCTTCTTTCAGGAGGATCAAGCGTGAATGAAAATCTGATTCATGACTAAGGACAGTTTTTGATAATAAAAAGAAAGTTGGCAATTTACTCTCACTAATGAGTACTTTCTCAGCCAAATAGCAAGTAGTTTTATCATTCTCCATTTTTGCATTTGAAATATACTATCTTCCATTTACTGCACATTGTTATCTTCCACTGGCCAAATAGCATAAATAAATGCAATATACAATATTAATAACCATTGCAACTGCTTCTATATCTATGATTCATACTTAAATACTAGAGCTTCTTACAGCATTTTTGTCACAGATTCATCTTCATCTGTCCATTCAAAATAAAGTTAAATAAAAAGTTAAATAAATAAAAAAAGTATATATGATAGGAAAAACCTAATTTACAATATTTTTCTTCCATTTGTGAAACAATAATAAATGTAGTAATAATAATCAATGTACAGGTATTTAGCATAATCTACATACATACTTGCTTTTTTCCTGATCAATCAACACTGACTAGATGAGTATCTTTCCGTATAATTCTGGATCTCTCACTTACTCTCCATATTAAGTATTTTGATTATCATTTTTCCAATCTGACACATACTAGATTTCAGTGCTTTTCACAATGTTTACTTTGAGAAGGCTATTTCGTGAAAAGCATCACATTCTCTTAAATATACCCTCTACAGAAATCAACTCGGTATCCATAGTTTTACAGTTCTCTGCATTAATAGACAAATTAGCTTCACTGTGAGCAACTGCTTCAGTACAATTACTGGATTTTGCTTGACAAGAAGTACACTGAACTTAGTAACCATTAAAGGAGAAATAATCATTGCAAAGAAAGAAAAATGATATTCATATAGCATTAAAATATCAGTTCCTGATTTTAAAGGATCTGCCTACGACAGGGCTTGCAAGATCAAATTTGTATATACTAGCAGATTACATTGTATGTGATCTGAAATAAATCTCTCTTTATCATATCTTCTTTCAGGAGGATCAAGCGTGAATGAAAATCTGATTCATGACTAAGGACAGTTTTTGATAATAAAAAGAAAGTTGGCAATTTACTCTCACTAATGAGTACTTTCTCAGCCAAATAGCAAGTAGTTTTATCATTCTCCATTTTTGCATTTGAAAAAAAAAGAAAAGAAAAAAGAAAAAAAAAAATAATAAATAAAGGAAACAGGAAAAGTTAAAAAAAAAAAAAACCCTCAAATCCATAATAAAAATAATTCTATCCTACAGATATCTTAAACAGGAACTAGGGGAACAGGCATACATACAGTGACTCGCACATGACTCGCACATTTGTTTAAAGCATCTTGAGAGTGACTGAACTTACAAAGTGATCATCGCACACACACTGTAGGTTGTCCAAGGTGGTATTGCTCACCTACACTGACTCCACATACCAAAGGCTATACCAAAAAGGACATACTGGCACTAAATCTATGTATATATAAGCAAGGAGTTATCAAATTAAAAAAAAAAAAGGACAGGAGAAAGATACAGTGAGAAAAGCAAAACAAAAGGCAAGGATAGTCAAATTAAATGTTTAACACTGAAACCAAGAGGAGAGAGGTGACGAGGTGGGAAATAAAACAAGGCACATTCACATATAATCAAAAGAGAGAAAGAGAGAGAGAGAGAAAAAAAAAAGGGGGGGAAAAAAATGTCTGTCACAAGCCTTCAATACACAAAACAGATTTACAGGGAAACAATTTACGTATACCATCAGCATGTATAGTTAGACGCTTGAAAACACAAAAACTAGTTCAAATGCTAAAACAAGATTCTGACAAAAGAAAAGAAAAGAAGAGTGAAAAAAAAAAAAAAAAAAAGGCTGACTATAATCAAATAAACATATACTGCCACAATGCAATGCTTGGAACAAATGGGATAGCTATATTAAAACACCACAAATATAAATATATTACAAGTTACAAAGCACTGTGTATGTACGACTCACTCAACACCAACTCCTGACTTTTCCCTCCCTCTCCTCCCATATCAACTCTTTAGAAAAAGGAACAAGAATATTTTTAAAAATTATAAATAAAAAAAAACAAAAAAATCACATTAACCTACAATATAGAAAGGCACAATCTCAGCTTACCTCAAAGGTCCCGCAAACTGGGTGTTACATCCGCTTTTGTTATGCCTAGTGTAATTCTACTACAGTTGGTCCGATAAACAAAGGTTTCTGGTCATTGGCGTAATACTGTGTTTGAAAAATAAAAAGGGGGGGGGGGGATTTCTACTAACTAAAAGCTTCTGTGGAATGAGACAAGTTTTAACCATTTGTTGTATGCAAAATTTTGGAACAGCACCACGGAAACAAGTAGCAAAAGTTTCATCTTGAAATGAACCGTAAAAAGTAGTCAAAACAAAATTTATCGGTAACAATTATAGATAGATGATATTGACCCCTAAACTCAGACCCAACTATACCTAACCCAAATTATCAGATAAAAAAGGGGAATAAATAAAAAGTGAAAGATAAAAAGAAATGTAAGTAGCAAAACAGACAAGCAAACCTGGACTACAGCATTTGCATTTCACCATAAACACTACCACCTGGTAAAGGACCATCTGCATGGCACGAGGGAGCGACAAGTTCACTTTCTTCTTGTCCTCTGCGAAGTCAATCAAATTACGAGATCAACTTGATATGCGGGTTGAAAACTGGTTGAGTCACATCCATTGTTTAACCTAGAGACAGTCACAAGCAATTAAACACTTAGTTAAATGACAAGGAGTGGACATGCAGGCCACCTTCTCTAAATCAAATTGCCTTTGTAGCATGGTTGTATCTCCTCTTGATAGTACTGAATACAACTGAATGTTACCACGAATGGTGCGTCTCTTACCATCCGACTTTTTGTTTCATCCCATCTTTCTTTGGGGCTTTATCAAAAGCAATTTATTAAAAAATAAATGGAGTCCTTCATAACGGCTTTTGACAGTTGTAAAAGCATCACTAACATAAACAAATCTGGCCATCTGGTTCTAATATGGTTACTTGCATACATAGAAACATCACATTATATTCCATTGATTATGAAAAAATACAATTCACAATATCTGCAAAAAGATTATAGCAAATTACAGTGCTTGCAACATAATATGGACAAAGTAACAGATTTTGCAAATGCAATTCTTCAATGCATAATTCAGCAGTGAAAAGCCAGTACATTATAACAACCAATCCCTTCCTTTTTTGATGTATCAAATCACTGACTCTGTGAAGCTGCAAACATCTGTCTAGATAAAAAATAAAATAAAATAAATAAAAAAAGAAGTTAACATTAATGCATAGAGTAAATACTTATATGTATGTATATATATATGTATATAGTTTGTTTTTTTTCTTTCACAGATCTTTCTTCACAGCTGAGCACTGTTTTTGATATCTCATTAAAACTTAGCAGTCCAAGGAGAGATATCACTAATGGTGCGAGATTCACTGTCAGATCCACACCACTGCATCATGCTACATACAATGCTGACCCTTGCTTCCACTGGGTCCTCGTACCTTCATGTAATGTTACTATCTTCAAGCCACTCTTCCATCTGCTTATTTGTGAACATCTGGTGTGCTTCACAGTCCTTTTGCTGTAGATATTCTATAAGAAATCTTTGACAATAAACTGTCCCTTTCATACGGCATATCATACTCGAGCTAATTTTTTTCCTTCTTATAATTGTGTATAAAAATATATAGAGCCATGTGAACTCAGGAGGCAACACTGTTTAAAAGAAGATCATGGCGCACTGCCCCTTTCAGAAATAAAAGAATCAACTCTAAAAAGCATCATGTATTACCTCAGCAACACATTAAGTAAATGCATTTCCACCGACAAAAAAAGTGAGAAACGGTATTCTTTTCTCCCATCTATAACAGTACAATAAAACACCGTAATAAAAAAGAAAAAGCAGAAAGATCCTTCCTTCTCTCTAGTGTTCATAGTGAACGATGGCACTGGGTTGGGAGAGACCTGCCATTACACCACTTTGTTGCTTCCATAAGAGGGGGTGTAATGGTTTAGTGTGACTCTACAAGCAAATATAAAATCCCTTTAGTATTATCCTAACTTATTAAAAAAAATTCTACTTCTAATTGGCAGAGCAAATTGTTGATTTACTGTCTACAAATTATCATCTTTTTCTTCGTCTTGTAGACAGAGTCAAAGGCAAATAAATATATTGCATTTCAAAAAGATAGAAATTTTCATCTGAACTAAGTGTCGCAAACAATTCTTAAATAAATTGCACACCTCATATAATCCCCTCACACATTTACATAACTACAAGGATACATGTGTTTGTGTGTAAATATCTACAAATAATGGAACATATAATAAAATTCATTTATGACTCATAAACACTAGTTATTAATATAACATAAGCAAACCCATATTTGAAGGGAAGAATTTTTTCTCCACACACATTTTCTTTTTAATCATTCAAACCTTTCCTCAGGAACTGCATCCTATGAAAACCTTAAGCCTAAAATTCAGTTATTTTGTGCTTGTTAAAGAGTTTTTTTTAACATTTTATTCCTGCCACTGTAAGTTTGTCAATGCCGTTAGTTTTGAGCGTACAAATTTGTGCATTGTAATCTCAATGTTATTAGTGCAACTATTTCTAGGCACAGCTTCGGAGGCAGTGCCTTCACTTTCTAGATCCTGGTGACATATCACACGATGACTTCTGTGCATAGGAGTTCACTTATACAGACGTGAACATGCACAGTCTTCTTTTGCATATATTTTCACTACTAAAACAAAGGATGGAAAGAAAGTAAAAAGAAAAAAAAGAAATGAAAAATTAGTACTAAACCCAGTGGGATAACTTATTCCATGGGAAGGTTTCTCTACATGAAGACTGCGCTGCAATTGTACACCATGTGGTTGAATCACATTCCTCATCCCAGCAGAGAAACTATGGCCATGAAATGTTAACCTAATGCAAGACATTCAGTAAGATACTCTGAATCAGTTAACTTGTCTTGACAAAGCCAAAACCTTACGTTCTTGTTGTAGTCCCTTCATGTGTCGTCTTTCCTCCCTTTGAGCAAATAAACGTCCATGTTATCCTTCCCCTTCACAAAGACTGGTCCACGGCGCTCCAGTTCATAGCGCCTGTTGAGGATGGCAGCACACGCACCACTTACTTGTATGCGTCCTGGTACCCCAGTGGAGTCCATTCTCGAGGCTATGTTCACTGCATCTCCCCAAATGTCATAGTATAATTTGGTAGTGCCTATGACACCAGCTGTCACATCACCAAAGTTGAGGCCAATACGCAGGATCAGGTTGAACTCAATTAGATCCTGGTTGAAGTCATCTATAACCTTCTGCATGGCCAGGGCAAACTCCACCAATTCAAATATGTGTTGATGAGCATCTGTGTTCTCAGCTCTGACTTTGGCGTCTAACCCTGCTGCCGCCATGTAAGTACTGCCTATAGTCTTGATCTTCTCAATATTCTTGAATTCATCTTGCGAAAGGAGCTCGTCCATGTCAGCGACTAGTTCATTGAGAACACGGAGATACTCCTTCCCCCCAAGGTAGTCCTCATCATAAAGCTCATTGAAGTTTACAATGGATGCAAACATGACGGCTACATCCTTGTGGTTTTCAGAGTATTTGGCTGTAGTTTTAATGGAGTCAGCCACATGTCTTGGGATGATGTTGTGCAGCAGCCACTCTGCCTGGTCCTTCATTGTCTGCACTCTGACCTTATCCTTTATGGCCATCACTGATCCATGGAAACTTAACCTGTAGCTTATCTCAAATTCCCGGTTGAGGAACCAAACCAGCACAAGGAGTAATACCGCTGCCATCACCTCCTCTCGGTATTCAATGCGTTCATATTCCTCATGTTCAGATACTGTAATATTATTACTGGTGAAATTCCCATTAACTTGTTCTCCCCTACAAAAGGAAGGCTCTATCAGAACCAACAAAACTACTGTCCCAATGGTTGCTAAAATATTCTTCATCCAACAATTAAGTTGTGTGAAGTTACAAAGGTGTATTGTTGCCACAAATGCTAAGAAGCAGAAGAACTTCAAAGAGTATCTATCATCACTGACCCACATTGACTCACAAGAAAAGTTTGAGAAGACGGCCGCAAGAGGGAGACAGATGAGGGACGTCCCACATGCATGCCATGGGCGCCACCGAGTCAATTTGCTGTACAGGCTATAGGTTCGAGATGAGGACGAGACATAATTCTCACCACGTACGACTTGTGGTGAGCAAACGACCAACAGCAGTAAGTGCCAACATGTGGACAGCAAACAGAGGATAAGCCAGCTTTGTGAATAAGGAAATAAAACAAAGAGGGAGAAGCTGACTACAATATAAACTAGTACACTAACCAATATATCAAAATAGGTATTGAAGTGGCTAGATGCTAAGGTAGGGGGAGAGTCATGTCTCGGCTGGTGCGTCTGTTGCCGGTACTGTTTTTCAAGCTCTTCATCTACAAAGAATAATGTCAGCTGGGACAGAGGTGGAGCCAAGATGTACTGCCGGTGGTTGGTGTCACGTTGTACACACTTGATCAGTTCCAGATCTGACTGTTTTCTAAGCTGGTGGAAGCGTGTTAGGCTCTCATTAAGGGGGATGCTGCTTGGCTCGGCTCCACTCACACTTTCCCCCATCTCAGCTGAAAGGACAGGAGATGAGGTTTCATAAAATGGATATAGATCTTTTTCTTCTTGAGTAATATGAAACTGAGTTTTCTAAAAACTCTTCCTTCTTACAGTAATATGAAACCAAGTTTTAATCTACAATTTTCAACATAATTACCTAGTTTGTTCTCAGCAACAGAAGACTGACTGGAAGTATAATATCCACTGACTCGATGTGTTAATAAGTCTCCTGGACTCATACCATTAATTGCAAAAATCTGCAAGAAAGAAAAAAGAAATAAGTCCATTAACTGCAAAATTAATTTAGAGTTCTGGCATATCTTAATCATATAATTTCAGTTCTTCATTATTTGTATCTGTAACAAGGTGATCAAGATGAAGAGAAAAAGAACAGATAGGGAAGTGGGAGAGAGACATAAGTACAAGGAGAGCCACATAAAAGCACACATGAATGCACATATGTACATGCACACACACACACAAAATTCTACCTGAGCCTGAATGCTTGACCGTCTACTTCTGATGCCGGAGTCCTTCCTGGGGTCCTTGCCCGTGACACTGCCCCAAGAGTTCTGCAGTCCTCCCCGCGGCAGGTGGGGCATGGCCAACGTATCCTCGGGTAAATCTGGAGCGGTGGGGGTGTGGGGGGTGGGAGGAGGTGGCTGTGGTGATGGTGGGAGGGTAGTGGGGGTGGAGGTATAGGTGGGGGTGAGGGTGGAGGGGCTGTTGCCGCACCCTGGTCCAAGGCCCTCCTCCAGGTCTCCTCCGCTCCACAGCTCGCTCCACTCGGCAGACTGGGTCACAAAAGGAGCGAGAGAAAGGTTAAGGTTTTAGATGTATGGTGTCAGTCTACTGTGTGAGCACTTAATCTAACTCTGCTGTGAAATACTGTTTGCTGCATTTTAAATTATATAAGTGCTTATGTTCAGAAATATGTTATACAAAAAATAAAAAAAAATCATATTATATAACACATATCAAATATATATTACCTTGTTATTCTCCTGTTTGCTTCCAATCTTTGGTAGAGATGCAGTTTTAACTTTGGCTGAAATTACAGAGTTTTTGTTCTTATCAACAATCAAGAAAATATAAATATATACAAAAAAATATATATATATTTATTAATTTCTTATTTATATAACTTCAAAGACTTGTCATTCAAACATCTTCCAATGTCAAAAAAAAAAAGAAAAAAAAAGAGCTAAACAAATAAAAAATCTTTGAATCTCCCTGTGATACACTTCACTTCACCATTAAGTCATAAATAGGAAAACTACAGATTCACTGCCCTATGCTCTGTCAATTCATCACCCTCCTTCCCTATGCTTTGTATTCTTTGCTCCTATGTGCTTCAGTGACTTTTCAAAACAATGATGCAATCCCTCTTATACCTTTATCTGAGCTCCTGGGTAGTCTGGGTATTCTAAGCCGAGGGAGGTCTATCGCTGGTGCTAGGGAACGCCTGCTTTTCGTTCCCTCCAGGTCTGGCTTGGTTTTCATGTTGCCGTTTCCATCGGCTTCCTTCCCGCAGTCCAGGATGTTTGGCAAGCTTGAGGCTTTCTTGTTATCCTTATGCGAGGAAGGGGAGAGGAGAGAGAAAGGAGGTTTCGGTCAAAAAATCTTTCAGGAGTTCACATCTGGAGGAAATACTCGCAGTTCTGGTATTTTGATTTTATGAAGGAAGCAGAAAATACTTTACCTTGTGAGAATTGTAGTGATCGTTGGACTTTTCTCGTCTATCCATGGGCTTTAATTTGTAACCTGTTATGAAGTGTGTCTTGTAGCCTGGAACAAGGAAAAATATCCGTTAAAATTCCTCCATTACCTCCTGGTTTCCCAACTTTCAAACTATGCAGAGAAAAAATACAGCTATTCTATTTGCTGATCTTGATCTCCTCTATTAGATAACATCATAATGAGCATTTCTAATTCAAATTCTAATATTGTAAATATAATGTATCTTTGAAATATTACTTTCATTACCCACCCATGCTCATTTGTTTGCACTTGAAAAAAAGTATTCACAAAAATCTAAATTTGTGGAATTCCTTGTCATCATAACTATTGCCTATCTTATTCACACATTAAGCAATCATCATAACTGTGAGGATAAATAAACGCCGTAATAATGGCATGATTCATAAAGCTCCACAGGCAGCGAATGGTGAAAATATGCAGCTAAGAATGTAAATAAAGTCAACACTTTGGTCGACATTAAAATCTGCAAAGTAAGTGTCACTGAAATGCATGTTGCAAAAATAACATACTTGCTGACTCATCTAATTCCAACATTCCCACACTCATATTTCACCAACTTCACCTCCTATTTGACAGTTACCCTTTCCCCATAAATAGGTCCTATTCCTGCAAAAAAGATGATGTTGACAGGTAAGAAAAATAAACCCCAGAACATATCACCAATCAATGGATATTTCAGATATAAAGGACTAAATTAAAGGATTGAATATAGTATACATGGGGGTACAGGGAAGTACACCACTGGGGTAAAAATGCGATTTTTGAAGCATTTTTCTCAAGCACATTTAAATGTAGTCTAGTTTGCAAACATTTCCTCAATGGCAGTCACAAACAAGACAGACTGAGTTGCACAATGTTGGAAAGTGTGCAGGTACCATATTACCATCTATTGCAACACATATACTAAATGTTTGTTGTGAGATCATGCAATGCCAAAGATAAACAGAGAGCACTGCACAAGTTGACACAGGATAAAATTAAATGTGGAAATATATATAGATAATTATAGTTAATTATCACAGGTAGAACAGGGAATACAGTCATTTTCCTAAGAACTCTTGGAACAGAGAAGGAAATATGCATAGCAAATGTACACTAATAAAACAGATTCAGAGCTTTCACATAAATACTTGTGCAACTTGACAATCTTTCAAATGATACTCTATGGTGAAACGAGGAATGCAATAACTTTCCCAAGTATTCATGGAAATATAAGGGAAAAGGAAATATACACAGCTTTTCTAAGAATGCTCTATACATATCTGATTCATTAACTCCTAAAGGAAGGAAAAGTGAAAAAAAAAAAGATAACTACAAAATGATAAAAATAAGAAAACCAAATTAGCGGGTAAAATGAACTGTGCAAACTTTTGTCTCCTGTACCACACATTCATCCAAGGACAAAAATTACTATACATCGTCCATTAACCCAACACTGCTGGGTGAAGGAAATAAATAAAAACTCTAAACTCAGGAGATTAATGACAACAAACCAACTTTGAGTGTGGGAGTTCGCTACATCAAGCCGAATGTCCTGCTTAAAGAGCTCTGCTGTCTTGCCGCAGCGTACAGCCATACTCCACAACCCAAGTGGTGTTAAGATGCTGCTAGGCGTGGCCCGGCAGTATTGGGTTAAGGGATAACAGTAACTGAATTTTCATATCTATGAGAAAAAATAATCCTTATGTTATCATGCTGACTCACATGCAAGTCTGACTTTTAATTTAAACTTACCTTTCACTTCTGATCCCTCTATAATTATGTACATATCTTTTGGTAAGAAGCTCAGAGTAGCATCAGATATGTGCACCTGGCCTGGCTTTCCTGTTGATTCCATCTGGTTAGCTAAAGTTACATCGTTTGACCACACATCAAATTTAAATCTCTTGGTACCCACAATGCCACACAATACCTGAAAAAAAAAAAAATTATATATATATAATTAGCTCATCTTGCATTAGTTGCACAATGTTCATTTTCAATCAGATTATGCATGAGTAAATATCTAATTCTTTGAATGACATTCTCATATGAATTAAGACCCTTAAATTCAAATAAATCTGTAATTCTATAAAATCATTGTATTCAGATATGAAAATAAGCAGCCACATTTTCTGGCCTCATGATGTCTGATCAGATACAAACTCAACAGAAATCTCAACAAAGCTGATTTCATGCACTTTACCTTCCCAGTGTGCACCCCAACACGCATATTTACATCCTCGTTGGTGTCGATATCAAATTCTCGGATGGCTTCAATCATTGCCAGACCCATATTTACACAGCACTCTGCATGATCTGGTCTGGGTTCAGGGCATCCACTAACACTATAGTAGCAGTCCCCAAGGGTGCTAATCTTCTCACAGCAATGCTTCTGACAGAGGTCATCAAAACGGCCAAACAGGTCATTCAGCAAGTCGACGAGCTGTTCGGCAGTCTGCTCGAAAAGAGTTTAAAATGAGAGAGGTTCTGCCATTTCAGAAAAAATATAAAAACCTATTTGAATATGTTTTACCTTGTTTATTAACACCTTGCAGTATTCCACAACATTAAAAGTAGATGAAAGCAATTGAAATTCATTAAGTACCTTATTTGAGCTCATTCTGGTGAAACCAACAATATCAGCAAAGAGAATGCTAACATTGTCCATTCCATGCATGTTAAAAGGTCTGAACATAGAGTCTAAACCACTCGTGTGAGATGGCCTCGGAGATGAAACCTGGAGAATGGATTAAAATCAATGTCATTTCATATCCTATAAAACATACAATACGTTAATATATCATTCTCTTTAGTCCCAATATCAATGCATTATTCTCACCTGTCCTTGGATTACAAAATGAGAAAAAAACTAGGCACGCATACCGGTCTCAGTATAGCCCCGTCCTCCCTGTAGTGAGTGGCGTCATCATTCTCCTCTGCGGCAGTTTCCTTCATGAGCCAGTCGGCGACTTTTGGAGGCATGACCGAGTGGATCATCTTTTCCTTTAGGGTCTTCTCAATTTCTAACTGTCTTCGCACCAGGAGGGACTGACCGATGCTCATAAAAGTGCCACGCATTCGTACCTAAATTCAATATGTACCATTAAGCAGAGTGACTTCTACTGTTATCATAAAAATATTACTTTAACAGAAAATATACACATATAAAACTCCCTAAAAAGTCATATATGAGAGGATGGGGAGGGGGAGGGGTAAGTTCATTCAATGAGAAACCTAATAATTAGTCTGCTGTCTCCTGAAATCTAATATAAGACTATGCTCCTAAAATCAAATTAACGCAATGCATAAAAAGAAAAGAAATACTTATATCTTGTGCAACTGCTCCTTAAAAATTTCACATACATTATGAATAAGCAACCAAACTCTTAGCAAGGTGCATACATAGAACAGGCCTCCAGAAATCAAAGGGTCACTATATACTTTTCACTGATTTTTTTACAATTCCCGAAGAGCAATATCAAAATCCTAACAGTAAAAGATTGACTTCATACTGACTACATAAAAAAATCTAAATATCATTTCACATAAAAACTTGCTTGACAAAATAAGGGCTATATATACAATAAATCAGTTAATAATAATAATAATAATAATAATAATAATAATAATAATAATAAAATTGTTAACAGTAAAAGTAACGACAGATTTCTATAAGGCAGAGGACAGAAAATCAATTAAGGTATTAATACTGAACGAGAGTACACACAAAGTCTAAAAGTAACGCTAAAACTCCCAAGATGAAAATCCATACGTACTTGTGTCATAATCATGATATGGGCACCAATCAGGTGGATGCAGAGGTGCAGTCCAAGACGCACACAAATCAGTTTGATCTCGTACTCTATAATAAACCCATTCAGAATCTCAAATGTGGCGGTGTACAGTAAAGACATGATCACAGTTAAGTAGAGGGGCAGGGGAATCACTGTGTAGATCAGGAGCAAAACCTGGCAGGGAAAATACAAAAAATATATGAATGTTAAAAGGCACATCATGCATGGAGGGAAAAAACATCAATTGTATGTAGAGAAAAAGTGATAATATCCATGTGTGTGTGCATTGTAAATATGTTCCAAAAGCAAATGACTTCCTACATATAATAAACTAAAGGCCAATACACGTGGATGCACTTACTTCAATACATATGGCAAACATGCCCACAGACGAGAGATCATTATTAGCGGATCTGTCCAGGGAGTACGGCAAAAGGCTCACCAACATCAACGAGACAGACATGACTATTGATACAATCCTCTGGTGGCTCTGGAAGATATATAGGATGTGTTTACAATTAAAATATCCATAGAATTATACTAAAAACATCCAAGAGATTTATAAGTTCAAATAAAAAATTAAAAAAGGGTACAACTTTAGATAATCCTGATATAATCTCATATGTACAGTCCTCTCTATGAAATCATAAATGTTTATACAAGGCTAAAGTACACACACACACTACTAACCTGGTAACTTTTTGTCCGAGTATAAATAAGTTGAAAAACTGAGGAGAAGGCTAGCGTCACAGCTACAGCTAAACACGAATGCCAGTGTAAAGTTCGTGAGATTGCCCAATACAAAGTCCAGGTAAGACTGCTCACTATAACATATATTAGTGCATAGCGGAACCGTACTGTCAGGGTTGGTAGAGAAGATCTCTGGTACTGACCCTCAAGGATTTCACTATCAAATCTGGAAATACGACAAGAATAAATAAGAATATGATGACGAAATACATGAGAGCTAAATAAATTGATCTATCTGACACAATATGAACCCAGGATGGGTAAAATTCTCGATAAAGTTTGCCGAGGCTGAAGCTTTAGAGTGTGTGACTGTTAATCTCTAGGTTGGGTGCATGGGCTGTCTATCTAGCAATCAGGAAATAGAAGTCATCCATCGTGAATGGTATAAAGTGAAGATAATATTACCTAAGAAGAAATTTTTAAATATTTGCTACTGTGAGTATACAAGGCAAAGAATGGGATAAAGTAAAATTACTATTCCCTAAGACGAGATTTTAAAATGCTTGCTACATTGAGTATAAGAGGCAAAGAATTCAGCAAACATAAAACAAATTCCTTAAGAAGTGATTTTAGCGGGCAAATGGACTAATATTCCATTAGCTCTAAACTGCAAGCATATAAGATAAAGAAATCACTACATATCGAATTAATCTAACATGATGGCAATTTTTAAAGGCAGGTATATCCTCTTCCTTAAAAAGAAACTGCTACTCCGTTAGTCAGCGATGGCACATGGAGTTAGATGCCACAAGTAATGAATTGTGAACATATAAGGCAGTGAATTCAGAAGACATTGAACCAATCAAACATGATGGCAATTTTAAACGGTGGGTAACATTCCTTATAGGGAGAATTCTGCACTTTTGGTAACAGGTGGCATAAGAACTCAGAATCCATATATAATGAACTATCAGCATATAAGGTGAAGAATTCTGTACAGCCTGAATTGAAAATTAGGAATATATACAATATTTCCTATGCTCTCTCTGACATGTGCAAAAATATTTAATATAATTCTGCTATACTTTTCCTCACGATGTTACACTTCAAATATCAAAATTCATTATCTGTGCACTAACCTCTGCACTTGCAAAACATATATTCACAAAATTATCCTGGTCTTAAATCCATGGTAAAATTCACCCCTTCATTTACATTTAGTTGTCTTGTATCATAACCCGTCCACTACATTTAGAAAAGTAAAAAAAAAATAATAATAGTAATGGTAATAATAACAATAACAATAACAATAGTAACAATAAAAATAATGATAGTAATAATATTAGTAATACTAACAATAATAATTACTATCATCATTATTATTACTATACTAATAGTAATTATCATCCTTATCATCATAACAATTAAAATAACGATTCCCAGAGAAAAAGCGATAAAACCCCCAAAAGTCCCAGAACACGAGACACTCACCTGGGATCCCACCAAGTGTCGGCTGCCCTCTCGAAGAGCAGAGGACAGCAGGAGTTGCGTCGGTGCGAGGCCATCATGAGGGCGTGGAGGTGGGGGGTGAGGGAGATCCTGATGGCCTCCTCCTCCTCCAACACGGCTCCCCCCTCACCTGCCGCCCCCCCATTGTGACCCCCGCTCCCAGATACCATCTTGGGGGGGTTTAGTTCACTTCACATTTACGCCACAAACGTCTTTCCTATGAGAGCATTGAGGGAGCTGCGGCAGGGATAGAGACACACAAAGGTTATGGGTGGGATATGCTGGTCGAAATCTTGGCACGGTTGCGCAAAATACTCATATATCAACACTACACTGAAAATAATTTGCTGTGTATATTTCTTATCTCACAGGAGCAAACACATATCCACAAATCCAAATATTGAGTAATTTTCCTCGACTGCACAAATGTTATCTTTCTTGACTGGTTATACATCAATAATCACTTCATTTTTTTCTTTTTCTTTTTTTTAACGGAGTAAACCTGTAGCAAGCCTTGATATACACAAAATCTCAATAACTATTAAAAGCAAAAAGAGAAACGGTTTACTAGTGTATGCGTGTATGCGTGTCCATGTAAATGTGTGTATGTATAATCATACAAAGCACCGTCGTCCTGTGAACTAAAACCTCTATGAATTACAGCGATTTCCACAACCTTAAAATCGTAACCCCTAGTGGAAGATGGCCAGACCGACAAACAAGGTAATGCAGGGCGAAGCAAACAAATACAAGCACTGTCCTTGTTCCTTATCTCGCACACAAGTCATCCCAAGCACTGAAAGCCTAGTCAAATCCGGACTAGTTCTGGCTAGTTCAGTCTAGTTCAACCTTGTACACAGTGTAATACCCCAACAAAAGAAAAACTCCAACTTGGCTTAGTAAAGGAAAATTTCTCCGCATTGCATATAATTTCTTATCGATTCGTTTCCTGCCCTTGTTTTCCTCCTACCCCCCCAAAAAATTACGAATCTATGACATAAAAAAATGATATAACTGATACCCTTTGATAGCCTAGGGCCTTGCATCAATATTCTCTACATGTTAGCACAGGCATTTCGCATGGCTGATGACAGCAATAAAATACATGCATGCATACGTATCTGTATGCTTATGAATGTGTGTGTGTGTGTGTGTGTGTGTGTGTGTGTGTGTGTGTGTGTGTGTGTGTGTGTGAGTGAGTGAGTGAGTGAGTGAGTGAGTGAGTGAGTGAGTGAGTGAGTGTGAGTGAGTGAGTGTGAGTGAATGAGTGAGTGAGTAAGTGTGAGTGAGTGAGTAAGTGTGAGTGAGTGTGTGTGTGTGTGTGTGTGTGTGTGTGTGTGTGTGTGTGTGTGTGTGTGTGAGTGAGTGAGTGAGTGAGTGAGTGAGTGAGTGAGTGTGTGAGTGAGAGTGAAAGTGAGTGTGAGAGTATGAATGTGTGAGTGTGAATGAATCAGAGTATGAATGCATGTGTGAATGTGTGTGTGTGTAGATATATCTATACATATATAGACAGACAGACAGATAGATAAAGATCTTTAATAATGAAACATTTGAAAAAAAAAAAAAAACATAAAAACAATTTTCAAAAATTATACATACACTATCTTTTAAAAGGAATATTCAACCTTTCCAACCAACCATCAAATTCCTCGACTCTTCCCTATCTAATATTACCCAACTATAATCCAATCTTATCTAATCTTACGCATTCTAAACATACCTTACTTAATGCAAAATCATTCCTAAACTAATCTTATCTAACCTAACCTAACCTAACAAAAATTACATTAAACGGGACAGAAAGATACATACATGAATAGAGACAGAAATATATATATGTATGAACAGCCTCAG